TCAGGTTCAGTGATGGCCCCTTCAGACCAACCAGAGTCCCCCGAACCCGAGCCTTACGTCTCCCCGATAGGAGGGCCCTCGGAGCGCCCTGAGAGGGCCCCAAAAGAGCGCCCTGAGAGGGCCCCGGAATCGCTCTGGGAGGGCCCCAGGAGCGCTCCTCTTCCTCCAACTCCTCCTCCTCCTCCTCTTCCTCCTCCTCCTCCTCCTCCTCCTCCTCCTCCTCCTCCTCCTCCTCCCCCTCCTCCTCCTCCTCCTCCTCCTCCTCCTCCCCCTCCTCATCACCATCATCATCCTCCTCCCTCTCGAAGGCCCTGGGAGTGCCCGTGTAGATTCGAGCCTGGGCGGCTGCCGTTCGCTCAAAGGCTTCACGCAGCAGGTGCAGGCATGCGTGGCATACATAGCTGCCGCTACTCATGCAAAGTACAGTGGAGGCCCATGCCAAGAACCTGCTTGCCTCCAGGGTGCCCTGGGTTTCTTGGGTTTCGATTGTTTCGAGATGGACAGCGTGACGTTCCCACGTCAAACATCAAGGGACGTCCTGGGGTCTCAGGTTTGGGTTTCTTGTAGAAGGTTTCTTGTGAAAGGGCCCCTACTGTACATATCTGCCGCTACTCATGCAAAGCATGTGCAAGCACGTGTTGCAGTGGCAGTGGCAACGATGCTCGGCTCAAGCTTTTGTTATCGCAATTGAGCAGAGCAGCGTCTCCACTGCAGCACGGGGTTGGCATGTTATTTTGTCCGTTCAGGGTGTGGAACGCCCAGATGTCCGACGATCTGATTTTCTCAATCTTGGCGTTGATTGAGATTTCGGCCCTCGGGGGCCTTTCTCGGGCCCCAGGAGCAATCACAAAAAAATCCGGAACGAAAAAACATCCCTGGGGAAGGAGTCGGGGCTTTAAACTTATCGTCGACTGTCTGGGCGTGATGTCTGCCAGAGTGGGACCCGAACAGTGGGACACTGCAGTCCTGATGTCCAATCTTCAGTCGAAATCGATGATAGGAGAGGTCACCTTCCCAAGGGCACTCTTACACAGCGTGGCCCCCGGAGGTCTGGACCACTTCCCCAGGGCTGGTTTTTTGTCCTGAGTCGTTTTTTGACGGCCCCGAAGCCCGGCGAGGGCCGCCAGAGGCCAAAAATTGGTAAAAACCGGCCGCTCCAATGTTTTTCGAGCGTCGGATCTCTGGCTGTCCTGGCCGCTTTCTCAGCCCACACCGATCCACGCGGACCCCAGAGCCCAGGTCGGGCCCCAGGGGCCCGACCTCGAGGCAGCTCCTGGCCTCTTCGGTCCATCCCTTAACCACTCTGCACGAACGAAATGGGCACGGAAAGAATGGGTACAATGCCCAACAGCAGTTCCTGTTCATTTTGAACAGGACTCGCTGTCCGCGCCGCCGCGGCCTGTGTCCACTTGAGACAGGAGGCCGCCTGCCCAACAGCGGCCGCTGTTGGTTTGGGACAACATTTGTTGTTGGGCATTGTACCCATTCTTTCGGTACCCATTTCGGGTGTCCAAATTAAGTCGGGCCTGTCCCTCTACAGGAGGAACAGGCAGAAATAGTAAAAGAATAGTCTGGGGACGATGTGTTGACCATGTTTGAGCATCATGGGGGTCTTTTCTGAGTACTTGCCATTTTTCGCTCAAAATTCCCCTGTAGGAAGACGGGCCCGACCTAACACGAGGTTTTGTCTGCCGTTTTCAACCTCGTTTCGGAGTCCACTGATTTTGTTCCGTGTTGGCACTCGCGTTCGCGCCGTTGTCGGGCGGATTCCGCTCTGTACTGCAGCTTGTTCTTGTTCTGAAAGGCAGTGCTGATTTCGTTTCGGTTGGCCGAACACCGAGATCGGGGGAAAACGCCCTGAAATTCGGAATGCCCCCAGCGTGTTGAGCATGAATGGAGCACGCGATGGCAGCACAGCAAGAGAGGCCAGCGCCGCTTCCTCGGGGCAGGGACGGCACCCTTTGCCCCGCGCCAGCGCGGCACCCTTGTCGCGTGCAGGAGGCGGTCCAGCGGTTCTACGACGAGGCCAAGGGCGATTTCAACGTGATCAACAAGTGGTTCGCAATGCAGGCCCTGGCGGACACGGAGGATGCACGGGGCCTCCCCCTTGGGGCCGCCTTTCTTTGCAGTCAGCCCGCACTGGAAGGGTGGGCAACTTTCCCAAGGGTACCCCCCTTGCATCGTTGCTTCCTCGGTCCATCCTTGGCCACTTTCGTTGACCGCGTCCCGCTCGAGAAGCTTCGAAGTGGGCGACCAAGGCCCTTGCATCCTATTGTCGCGCATCCTTGTGATCGGGCCGACTGTATCGGGCCAGGAGCGGTATGCGATAAACGGTTCCGCCGCTGGGGGCGCGCTTGCCCCACGGGGAAGCGTGAAAAGGTGCATGCCCTTGCGTGGCACCGTGGGGGTATAAACTTTGCAGCCGCCCGGGGGGCAGGCGCCCTTGGCGGCGGAGAGCAGCTTCGGTTCTAGACGTTCTTCGCCCGCTACGTTCTGCACGTCGCTCCTCCCTGCGGCCCAAGGCAAGAACAAAAAGAATACCCGGGGACGTACCCAACATTGCTGGGGAACATGTGCAGACCATATACAGGACCGTTCCTCACAAACGAATTTGTTGCGCAGGAGCACTCAGAAGTGAAATCAGATGAGCGCGGTATCATCATCCATCATCACCATCATCAGCATCAGCATCATCACCATCATCATAATCATAATATTCATCCTCATCACCATCAGCATCATCACCATCATAATCATACTCAGCAGCATACTCATCTTCATCACCAGCATCATCAGCGGCATCATCATGAACCCTCTTCCTCTTCTTCCTCCTCCATGTCATCTTCCTCCCCCCTCCTCTTCCCCCTCCTCCTCTTCCTCCGCCGCCGCGTCCTCCTCCTCTTCCTCTTCCTCCTCCACCGCGTCCTCCTCCTCCTCCTCCTCCTCCTCCTTCTCCTCCTCCTCCTCCTCACCGTCCTCATCCGTCGCGTTCACGGCACCACAAGGATCCGCAGTTCGCAGCCCCGCAGGGAGCCGCGAGGTCTCGGCAGATCCGCGTGGACCTCCATTACGCTGGACCTCTTCTCTTTTGATTCCCTGCAGCCCCAGACGCCGCGCCGTAGAAGGCCCCAAAGACTCCTTTACACGGCTTCTGGAATACCATTTGGATTGGCAGCAGGTCCCACGACCAACCTTCAGGGAACTCCCGAGTCAACCTTGCAGCACCCAATTGCAGTTTGCGATGATAGGTCTTCGAGCGCGACTAGAACCTGAACGCGCATGAAGCGCGCGTGTGGTTCCAGTTTCAAAGGTGTTTCCCCCGTGGCGTTGGCCACATTTCAGCACGGGTGTTTCGTTCCCGTCGTTCAGACAGGCGGGTTCGCCTCAGCGTGGGCCACATTTCTGCATCGGATTCATTCCTCCTCGTTGCCGGCCCCCTCAGTTCACCTCTGTCCACCTTCCGCTGATCCTCATGCTCCTGCTCCTACTTCTGCTGATTATCCTCCTCGTTCTCTCCGTCCTCCTGGTAATCCGAGTCCTCCTCCTCCATTACGCCTCCGGCCCGTGGGGATGGCGAATTGCATGTCAAAACGTTGGCGATCGTTGAAAGGTGGTGTTTCCGCCGCGACGTTGGACACTTTTCAGGACGGGTGCGTTACTCCCGTCGCTCAGAATGGCGGGTTCGCCACAGCGTGGGCCACATTTTTGGATCCGATTCGTTCCTCGTCGTTCCCGCCCCCGTCCTTTCACCTCTTTCCACCTTCTGCTGATCCTCATGCTCCTGCTGCTGCTGCTGCTGCTGCTGCTGCTGTTTCGCACCCTCAACCTCCTCATCCTCCTGACAACTCATTTCTCCTCTTCCACTGTACCAAGCCCCCTCTCTGATTGCGCATCACGCGAAGCGGCCACTTGGGGGATCATGGTCCACTAGGACACCCCACACCCCACGAATGCAAACGAATTCAGCGCAAAGGGAAGGGATGAGTGCGCTGGGCAGGATGTCAGAGATGGCGCGAGCGCGCATACTTCCTCTCTCCTCGCTGGGGAGAGCGGCGGTTTGGACAAGAGTCCTTCTCTTGACTCTCGGGGTGAGATCCTTCGGCAAGACGGCCTGCAGACTGCCACAATGTCAAGTCCGACTGGTCTGCTCCTCCCCCCTCCCCGCTCCCTGTCATTTGTCCCCCCCTCCCCTAACCCTCTCGCCTCCGCCCCGCCCCCAGCAATCCGCAGCCAGGCCTGGGGTCGGGAGACATGACTGCAGGGCTTTCTGGGACGCTCCCGCAGCGATCTTGAACGCTCCAGAACGGCCGCGGAGCGCGATTCATCCTCCAGAACCGCAGGATCTCAGAGATCCCCAGTTAATCCTTGTCCGATTTCGACCTTGTCCTGGCTTCGTTCCACCCCACCCTTTGACGATGCTAGAAACGCTGGGGGCGTTTTCTTTGTTCCAGTTGTCAGGGTCGTCGTTGTTTCCCGTTTTGGGGTTAGGTGTTTGTTTCTCCCGTTTCGGAAGTCGCATTCGCGCCGATTTCGGTTCGGTTCCGATTTGTATTATTTGTACTACAGTTGTTGTTATCGTTTTGGTTGCCGCTGTTTTTCTTCGTCTGGTTGGCCGTAAACCGAAGAGTCGAGCATTAACAGTACGAAGCAGCGCTTGTTATGTAGATTAAGACGGCGCAGGCGAGAATCCCACAACGAAAAAACAGACGAACCCCGAATCGGAGGGGCCACGAAAGAAAGGACGCCCGCAGCGTTTTGTCCAGCATCATCTAAGGTCCTGGCTCCGTCTTGCCCAATCCCTGAGGTCCGACGTTGCAGACACGTTGCCACATCGCATAACATCACGACGACCGGAGCCCCCCGACCCCACCTTTCCGCGTCACCTGCCGAGCCGCATCGACCTGGGAGGGCCCCGGCGCCCGAAATTCTGCGCGGGAACGCCCGCTGTGCTAAACTTGCAGCGCCAGGGTCTTAGGGATCCTCGACGCTGCTCTTGGCGCCCCAGCGCGCCAGCCGCTCATCGTCGGCCGCCGTCGTTCGCTGGTTGCCGTCGCCGCCGGGTGCCGTCGTAGTCGACGGTCATCGTCGTCGGTCGTCGTCGTCGTCGGTCGTCGTCGGTCGTCGGTCGTCGTCGTCATTGTCGTCGTCGTCCGCATCGGCGTCGGCGTCGTCTGTCGTCTGTCGACGTCGTCGACGTCCGTCGTCGTCGTCGTCGTCGTCTGTCGACGTCGTCCGTTGTTGGCGTCGACGTCGTCGACGGTCGTCGTCCGTGTCGTCCGCCGTCGTCGGCCGTCGTCGTCGTCGGCTGTCGCTTCGGCCGTCGCGGCCGCGCCGCTCGCCCTGCGCGAGGCCGCCCTGTTTGGCTCCGCGGGCCGCCCGCCCTGTTTGGCTCCGCGGGCCGCCCTGTTTGGCTGCCGCGGGGGGGGGGGGGGGGGGCCCACCGCCCCCACGCCGCTGCTCGACGAGCGCGTCCGTGTCCGTGCCCCGCTGCGGTCTGGGTGCCGGGGCGCCCTACCGGACTCCAGATCGGGGCTCGAGAGGCGGGGGTCAACGCAAACGAGGGTCCGCCAGGGCACCAGATCCTGCAGGATCCTGCGAAGACCCCCTCTGGCTGACCCGGGTTAGCGAGCCGCTCGTGGCCGCGAGGCGGCCGCGCATATTGGCTGACCCGGGTTTGCGAAGACCTGCGTTGCAGTTTTTGTTTCTGCATTGCAGTTTTTGGTTTCCTGCTGACCCGGGTCTGGATTGACCCGGGTCAGAAGATCCCCGACCAGACCCCGTGGAGCGTCGTGGGAAAAAATCTCGACGGGCGGTGTTTGGTGATTCGAGCAGTGGCGAAGCGTCTTGGCTTCCCTTTAGGCCCACCAAAAATGTTCTAAGAACCCTGTGTGGTTTGCGCGAGATGTGTTTAGAGCATTTCTGGCTCAGACGGTCTTGTCTTAACACATCGACTGTATGTTCTACGAGAAAAGCGCTTGTTCTAAGAACATCATTGGGTTCTTGGAGCATTTCGTGGCAGGCCTATACGAATGCCAGGACGGTCGGTCCCTGCTCAAATGTTCGAGCGTTCGGCAGTGTTCGCTGGTTCTTGGAAGCCACTGCGCTGCGCCGAGGTGGGGACCTCGCCAGGTAGCAGGCGGGTGGAGGAGGAGGAGGTCGGCTGGTGAATTCGTGGCGGGACAGGGGTGGGACCACGGCCGTGTTTACTTCAGTGCATTCCCCAACCATTCTGTGGTGTTGGGTCCTCGCTTTGAATAGAGATCCCCGCGTCCCCTCCTCTCCTTCTCTCCTTCTCCTCCCCTCCTCCCCCTACTCCCTCGTCCCGTCACCCCCCTCACGTTGGCACACCCCTCGCACGCTTCGTGGCCCCATCGGGAGCTCCAGCGCCCGCATGCCGCCACACCCTCACTTGAACGCACACCCCTCACACGCTTCGTGGCCCCATGGGGAGCTCCACCTAACTCACGAGCAATTGCGCCCGCATGATGCCACCCCCTCATTCTGGCACACCCCCACACACGATTCGCGGTCCAATAGAGAGCTCCACCTGAGGCCTCAGTGGCTGCGCCCGCATGCCGCCACCCCTCCATGTTGGCACGCTTCTCAAACGCTTCGTGGCCCCATAGGGAGCTCCAACTGAGGCCGGCTGCGCCCGCCTGCCTCCACATTCTGGCACACCCCTCACGCGATGCGTGGTCCCATGCGGAGCTCCACCTAAGACTCCAGTGGCTGCACGCGCCTGCCGGCACTCTCTCATTCTGGGGCACTCTCCTCACACGTTTCGTGGCCCCATAGGGTGCTGCACTTCAGGCCCCAGTGGTTGCGCCCGCAGGCCGCCACCCCCCTCATTTTGGCACACCCCTCACACGCACGCACACACACGCACGCACCGCCCACAGACACGCACGCATACGCTCGCAGACTTTACGCGCACACACGCACACACACACACACACACACGCACGCACGCACGCACGCACACATACACACACACACACACACTACACACTACACACCCACAGACACACACACACCACACACACGCGCGCCACCTTCGCAGGCACCTACACACGCACACGCCGGCAACACACACATATATATATATATATATATATATATATATATATATATATATATAAACACACACACACACACACACCACGCTCACCGCACAAACACACACATACACACCACAATAGACACGCATTCCACCGCCACCTTCGTCTTCCCCCACACCTGTTCCCCGTTTTCCGCTCTGGTCCCGTTCCACCTCTCTCTCTCTCTCCCTTTTTCCCTGATTCCCTTCTCGCGTGCACGGACAAACATTAATAACCCCACGCACACGAGCGCACCCTCCCCTCCCCTCCTTCCCCGGCAGAGCCACCCCTTCAACCCCCCCAAACGTTGAAGCTCAGCCTCGAGGGTGTAGCTGAGGCCCCTTCAAACTCACGCGCCACGGACCCCCCCCTTCCACTCCCCCACGCCATCGGAACCCACGCCACCATACCCCGCCCCTCTTCCCCAATTTCCCTTGTCCACAGGCGGGACGGGGGACCGGACCCCCCCCACCCCCGGCGCCGGAACCTACACCACCGAACCCGCCCCCACTCCCCCTACCCCGGCATAGCCACCAGACACCCCCCCCCTAACCTCACACGCCTGATCGGCGGATTTTGGAACGCCCCTCGCACGCTTCGTGGCCCAGTAGGGAGCGTCACCTAAGGCCCCAGCGGTTGCACCCGTGCCGCCCCCCTCCGCCCCTTCCGCATGTTGGCACACCCCTCACACGGTTCGAGGCCCCGTAGGGAGCTCCACCTAGGGGCCCAGTGGCTGCGCCCGCATGCCGCCACGCCTCCATTTTGGCACACCCCGTTCCGGCCGACCTCTGCTCCCACATGCCCCCATGCGGGCTGCCTCAGCGGCAGCGCCCGCATGGCAACCCCACCCCGTTTCGGCGCTCTCTTCACACATTTCGCGGCTCCACCGGGAGCTTCGCCGATAAAGTTTCTCACACCAGGGGCACCCACAACTGCATCTGCTTGGGTCTTTCACCAGGATAGCTATTTGTTTTACCAGGGATCGTGGCCGTCTGGACCAAAACTTTCGTTGGCAATGGGACGAGAGCACGGCCGTGCGCACTTCAGTGTATGTTTTACAAGGGATGGCCGGCCAGACCAAAAATGTAGCTGGCAATAGGGCGAGAGCACGATTCTTGTGAGGAGGTCTCCGGCGAAACCGCCTCCACACTCCAGACCGCTGCCGCACCGGGCGGTCTCGTGCTCCCCGTCCCAGACGTGGGATTCTTCTGCTGTTGTTTCCCATCGACCAGACGTAAGAGTGACCTTTCGCGGGAGTGACCTTTGGTGCGGGCACAGATGGGTCCCCAGATGGCTGAAAACGAAGCAGGAGTAACGGCTTGCGCGCCCAGGTTTGGTCCTTACGGGGCCCCCAAAAAGCCGCGCACCAAAGGTCACTCTTACCCAGGGTCACTCTTGCGTGTAGCCGATCCCAGCAGTAGAACCCTTCTTCAGCGAAACGCTATGAGCGAAAAAGTGCCGACACAGCATCCCCTGCATCGCTTTCGCCGGTATGAGGCTCCTTCGGAGGCCGCCGTCGCCACCGCCAGATTCGCCTCGAAAGTTTGCCCTGCACGCAACCCCAGAGAGGTCCCGCAGCGGTATCTGTTGGTTGCCCCACGTGGACATGTTCGGTGACATTCAAGTCGGACTGGCCATCCGCCAGAGCGACCTCTGGTGTGCAGGGCCCAGCCCCAAGCAGGCATCGCTCGGACGTGGGCATATTTTTTTCCTCGGCGAGAACCATCGAGGACCATCCTGGACCATCGAGCAAAAAGAAACAGGCACGAAATCGAAAAATGCACGGGAAATGGACGTCCGAGCGACGGCAAGAAGCACGCAGGCCGTTGCGGTCGCAGCATGCAGCGATCGGCATGCCGCGCGCCAGAGAAGTCACTTTTGCCCAGAGGTCACACCCGCGCGTGGCCGATACCCGATCCATTCGGATGTCCTTGGCGGTCGTTGCAGTCAACCCGCCTAGTAACGAATGAATGAGCAACGTTCCAAGGCTGCCCTTGCATCCTTCCCTGCGGCCTATTCTCGGCCGCTGTCGCTGGCCGCGCCCCGCTCGCGGAGTGTCGACATGGCCTTGGAGGCTTATGGTGTTCCAGCCGACTTTAGCCTGAATCACCAGAAAGAGTTTCGAGCACCAAGAAAGTACCGACACTGTAGGGTTTTCACGTGTCGAGCCTTGGGAAGCGACACTCATTCAACATTGCGCTAGCGTGTGGGGTATAAACTGCTTCGATAATTTTGGGGTTGATCGACATTATTTCTGGGAAGTGGTCCATAAGTGCGATGGGGACACCACGATTCAAGGCCCTTGCCTCCTTATCGTGCGTCCTTATTGTGCGGGTTGACTGTACCCTGGGTTCGTCAGCAAGAACGGGGCGGCCCTCCCGGCAATTAGTCCGCCTCGCCACGCCAGCGCGCCGCGCCAGGGATCGGAGATCCTGCGGCGCGCGGCAGGTGTCCGCGATTCGGGGTCGAGTTGGGGCTGTCAGGGGGGGAGCCCTGCTCCCTCACCTCGGTTTTTGTTTTCATCAACGCTGGGGGCGTTTCTGTGTCCCGTGTGTCACTTGTCCTGCTGCGGTTAGGCCAAAAGCAGCCACCCAAAACAGAACGAAGACGGCACCCACCAGGCCCAGAAACAGGAAAAAACAATTGCCCCCAAAGCAGGGAACAAAGACAAACAATAAGCGTTGATCTTGAACATGGAAACAGCAAAAACACATATCTTCATACATATATATATACACACACGCACACACAAGAATAAGCATAAAGCACAGTTCCTCCAGCGCTTTCTAAGAACATCGAAGCCCCTCCCCCAGGTGCTTGTTACGAAACTTGAAATCGGGGGCCCAAGCCGTATCCGTGTGGTGACGGACGGCGTGGTGGCCTCGGAGTCCCCAGCGAACTCGCCGCGCGGTCCTTCACCGCGCGGTCTCGGGACCTCGGAGGCCCCAGACGCCCGAGACATCGGAGAGCAACCCGAGTCCCGGAACCGTGCGGTAACCTCGAGCCCTCACCGACTCACCACGCGGTGTGGTCACCGCACCGTCTGGGGACCTCCGAGGATTACGCGATGCCGTGGACCCAGACGTCTGGCGCTTCAATGTGTTCGATGCGTGTGCCCCCTGGACCTCTTTGATAACTTCCCGAGCCGGCTTTGCATCCCAAGCAGTTTGGCTGGCAGGCTGCGCAAGCACGTCAAAGCAAAATCGACGACAATCGAGCGGGCGCCTGCTAGGCGCTGAAAATTGGTAATGGCTTGCGTTTGCGCGTACACCTTTTGTAGAGCTGAGCGCCCTGGTACGAGAAGCCGTACGACCCGTAAAGCAAGACATGTTACTGACACGGTCAGCCGCCTGAAAAGAACACATGCTTTTAAGGCAGAGCGTTCCGGAGCCTCTGAGGTGGCCGCCGCGCCCGATACATCTTCTGGAAGCGTCGGATCCCAGAGATCTCCGATGTGCCCCTGTCCGTTAGCATGTGGGAAACGGGTCCTGAGGGAAGCGGGTCCTGGACGCGGGGGCTTCCCCCCAGGACCAGTTCTGCATCTTGAGGTGTTTTCTGGCGGTCCTTTGGGCCCGTGGAGGGCCCTGGGAAGCCGAAAACGGCGGAAACCCTGTCGGCGGCCGGCAGCCAGCCCAGGGGGGCAGTGCGAGGGGGCGGGCCCTCTCAGAAGCCTCGGAAGTCCCCCGACCTTCTGACAAGTTTTCTGAGCCGTCCCCCGAGGGCACAGAAAATTCGGCAGGAGGCCCGGGGCCTTCTGAGAAGCCCCGCCGCCTTCTGAGAAGGCCTCTTCCTCGCTTCCCCCCCACGCTCGCCGCCAGCCATGGCTCACCGAGCGCGCCCCACTGCTCGCAAAGTGTCTGCTCGCAAGCGCCCGAACAACAAAGCACGTGCCTGATCGTATTAATTCCCCGCGGCGGATCCAGGCCGTCTTGGAGCAGTTTCTTTTTGCGAGTAGTGGAACGCGCTTGTCTAGTGGCGATGTCCTCGCTTTGTTACGCTGCATCTTCGTGGGACCTCGCCTGTCTCCAAAATCTGTGTCGTTTCTTTCACCCGACGCGGGCCCGATGCGGACTCGACGCGGAGTTGGCGAGGAGTCGGCGCGGTCTCGACACGGATTCGACACGGATCCGACGAGTCCGACCTGGATTTGACAGGGGCTCGGCGTGGACAGGACCGCGACGGGACAGACGGAGGCCCCCGAGGATGCCACAGTCAGGAGGGGGAAAAACACAGAGACACAATTAATCGTCGATCCCCAAGAAAAGATAAAAAATATGGGAAGTGGGGGGGACGACAGAACCCCCCCAAAAAATAGGAAAACATGGGGAATCCTTTTGTTTGTGTGTGTTTAGTTGTGTGTCCTGGGGCCCCTTCACACAGGAGCGTCGCCTCTTCTGCTCGAGGCGCCGGCTGCCGGGGGGAGACGCCCCCGCCCGCGCGGGGGGGGGAGGCCCGCGCGGGGAGGCCGCCCCCCGGCACACACCGCGGGGGGCGCCGCGGCCGCGAGGCACCGCCACGGGGACTCACTCGCGGGTCTTTTGGCGAATCGCCGGAGGTTGCCGCTCGAGGGCCTCTTGGGCGCTGCGTAATGGGGGGGTCATAAATGGGGGGGTGGCGAGGGTGGTCCGAAAAGGTACCCAAACGGTGCCTAAACGAGCCCCCTGGGGCTCCAGGGGGGCCCGAAAGGGGCACGAAAGGGGACCGTTTCTGACCCCCCCACTTGTGACCCCCCCATTAAGCCACGCCCAAGCCTCTCTCTGGCATTGGTAGCGCTGCCCACATCGGGGAGGACTTGGTCCACCGGGCCTCTGGCCAAAGTGCCCGTCAGTGGAGTCCCCGTTGGAGTCTGCAGGAACGAAGTGGGCACGGAGAGAATGGGCAGAATGCCCAACAGCAGTTCCTGTCTATCTTGAACAGGACTCGCTGTCCACGCCGCCGCGGCCTGAGTCCATTCGAGGCAGAAGGCCGCCTGCCCGACAGCGGCCGCTGTTGGTTTGGGACCACATCTGCTGTTGGGCATCGTACCCATTCTTTCCGTGCCCATTTCGGCCGTCCAAACAGAGGGGCGTTGATTGCGGCGCGTCCAGATCCCTCGGGCTGCCACCGGAGACGGGCGCGCTTCGCCCGCTCCTGCGGCCGCCTCGTGGGGCGGCGGGGAGCCATGAGCGCGGGCAGCCCCGCCCAGGAGCCGCCCGCCCCGGCCAACGCCGGCCTCGGCCGGCCTCCCGCGGGCGCGCGCGGCGAGGGAGGCGCCGTGGACGGCCCCGGAGCCAGGCGAGGGCCCCCATGGAGCCCGAGAGTTTCAGTTGAGCGAAGCCGATGGCGCCCAGGGCGTGGCAGGCCCGTTCGGCGGCGCCCCCGGTGATTTGAAAAACCGAGCATGATTTTTATCCCGGTCAAATTTTGCCCCGATCCTGGCTTCATTTTAGAGTTCAGGGGCCGGGCTCCACACACCGACGTGTTCTGCGGCCCCGCACCGGAATTCGCACCGGCAAGCGGATCCTGGTGTATTTTTCGGGGGCCGAAAAGAGAGGGGGGGTGATGACGAGGGGGGGGTGGATAGCATGGCGTGGGCCATGATATTTCCCCAGATTTCATGGCGCCTCTTCTTATTTCATTACGTCCCTGGCCACCCAGCTGGGCCGCGCACATGCCGCCAGTCATGATTTGCACCCCCCCCCTCTTGGACCCCCCCCTCTTGGCCGCTCCCGAGTATACGGGATCCTGGTGTTTTTTTTTTTATGTTTCGTTGTTTCCACGAGAAAGCGGGGAGACTAGTAGATACCACACCACTCCGATGTCGCCCCCGACCCTCAAGAAGTTCTGTGACGGAAAGAAAGCCCGCCACTGGTAATGTGTGTGTTCTTGTTTCTGGAGAATGGCAAAACAAATGTCGGTCTTGAGTTCTGAAGACGCAAGCACTTCTGGGCAGGTTGGTCATCACCAGCCCAGCATCGTTTCACCGATCCCCATCCCGATCCCCATCCCGAGACCCACCATCTCACCACCCCAGTTGGGCACACACCCCTCACAATGCGAAGGGAGCAGCCCATATCCCCATCAAGAGGGGTGGATCGGCCATTTGGGGCCCAGGCCGCGCTGGCGGGGGTCGGGATCGGTTGAACGAGGCTCCACGGTGTCGTGACGAGGGTGGCGCCGACACGGTGGCCTCGGCGAACAGAACGCTCGGGCTAGTTTCAATGTTTGGTCGGCAGCGTCCGCACACGGTCTCGCGGCACCTGCGGAGGCCGCTCCCAGCAGCAAGCTTCGAGTGAAGAGCCGCTGGCTTTTATGTCTCGGAACCCACGAGGGCAGCCTTCTCGTAACATGCGCCCAGGAGCGGTGTATATGTTTCCTTCGCCAGCCCCTGGACACAAAAGGCTAAGCCTTTGGCAGTGGATCTGTGTAGATCTTTTCGCCCTGAGTGTGTCGTGCTGAGTCTGTCTGTGGACGGTCTTGGGACCGGGAAGCGGCCGAAGAGGTTGGAAAATTTGCCGTCGCGTTTTTGGTGCTTCCCCCGGATCTGAGGGAACGTCCGCCAGCAACGACCCACGACGACCACGGCGACGTCGCTCTCCGGACGCGACGGCTGCTTTCCGGAATGCATTTTGGCCAGGTTTTTGAGGCGTATCCAGTCGCGGCCATGAGGGCCCCTCCTCTGGGCCCAGAAACTCGGAGGGGCTCGATGTATGTTTCAGTCCGGCGTGTCCCTCCCCAGGGGGAATATTCAAAAATAGTCAAAAAATAATATGGGGACGATTTGTTTACTATGTTTTAGCATTTGAGGGGTATTTTTTGAGTACTTCTTATTCTTCGCCCAAAACCCCCCTGTAGGGGGACAGGCCCGACCTAAATGTATGTGCCACGTCGTTTGGTCGGCCAGGGAGCCGCGGAGCCCGGCGAAGGTGTGCGGTGTGTGCACGATCCAGCATTACGTAGCTGGGGCGCCCAGACACCGAGCTACTCCGTGGCTGGCCGAGCAGGCGCCATGGCGTATGCACCGGGCCACCCCTAGTTCTCTGAGTTCGGGTGTTGGCCCTCGAAGTGTGCTGCCTGATGCAATCCGATTGGCCGGTGACTTGGCATCGCTCGGACGTGTGCATTTTTTCTCGGCGAGGACCATCGAGGCATCCTTGATCATTTGGCGAAAAAAACACGTACGAAACCGAAAAAAGCACAGGGAATGGGCGTCCGAGCGATGATGCAATCCGATTGGCCGGTGAAAGTTGCCGGCTTCAGGATGCAGCTCGGGACGGTCGGAATGGGTACGGAAAGGAGGGGTGCGGTGCCCAGCAGCAGTTTTTGCTCATTTTGAACAAGACTCGTTGTCCGTGCCGCCGCCGACGCTGTTCACTGAAGACATATCTAGCCGCCAGCCCACAGGCGGCCCGCTGTCGGTTGTGGACAACATTTGTTGTTGGGCATTGTACCCACTTGTTCCGTACCCTTTCGGGCGTCTAAAGCAGTGAATGCCGCTTCCAAGTGGCGCCATAGAGTGCGCCATGTAGATTCGCAGAGTCGATCTGCCACTGTGCACGCCCGTGGACTGTCGCAGCCTGCAGCTGGCACGAGGTATAAGACCCACCCTGGCGTTGGAGAGGTACACCTCAGGCGATGCTCAAGAAAACTTAAATTTTCGGCCAGAGTCTCGATTATTCTTAATGTTTCAATTTAATTCCCAAGATGTTGATATAATTTCTGGGTTTTTGTTAAATTCTGAGACTATGAATTTCTTAACCCATGATTTCTTAAGCATTTCGCAGGGTGTACCCTCGCGTTCTTCGCGTCTGATCTCTCCACCGTGCAGTGCTCTTCCTGCTTGGTATCTGCACCGGGGCCTCAAGCCTTCGGAGTAAGGGGCTCGTGTTGACCCACGCTCTGTTGTGGCTAAGTGCTTCGACTGCACGGCACGAGCCAGCGAGCAAGCGACTCTTAGCCCTCGATCTTCGAGGGCCAAGCGGAAAACATACCATCACCAACAACAACAATAACAGCACACACATCCTGGAGGAGCCCGCGGCGCCCCAGCGCCTCGTCTACGAGACGCCCTGGCCGGCCTACGCGCTGGCGTGGTCCGCGGACCCGCGGCCGGGCGTGCGGCTGGCCGTTGGGAGCTGCCTGGAGCAGGGCCGCGCCGCCGCCGTGGCCGCCGCCGCGTACCGCCGCGGTCGTCGCCGCGACGTCGTCGCACCGCCGCCGCCGCCGCCGTGGCCATCGCCGTCTACGCCGTCACCGTCGCCGTCCCTTGAGATCCAGGCGTGGCAATTTTCGAAGAAGGAAAAAGCGGCATAAACATAAACGTTTGGCGTTCCGCGCGGACTTCTTGGGTCCGCGCTGGGCCCCACGGCGGCGCCTCCAGCGCTGCCCTAGGCGTGCTCCGCGCGCCAGGAGGCGGGTCCAGAGCAGATCCAAGAAATCAGCGCGGAGCGCCGAAAGTTTATGTTTATGCCGTTTGTTCTTCTTCTTCTTATTATTATTATTCTTCTTCTTCTAGTCTCCGCCTTCGTGGCCGTCGCCGTCTGCGCCGTCGCCGTCGACGTCCCTTGAGATCCAGGCGTGGCAATGTGTCTCACACTGGGCGTGGTCGACCAGTCTGGGTGCCCGGGGCCAATCACAGATCGATTCAGAGTGGGAAGTGCCGCAGAAGGACGGGGTCTGCCGCCGAATTTGATTAGTAGGTCGACCCTTCGAATCAAGTGTACCCTTGTGTCCTGCGTTTCGCCACCCACGTCCTCTGCATCCCTGTGGCAGCGTGGCCTTCGGAAGGGCCTTGTATCTTCTCCCGAGTAGGGCTACGGTCGTGATTTCTCGCGAGTTCGCAACGCGAAAGCTCAGGGGTCTCGTGGTCGCGTCGTCGTCGCCGCTGTCCTCGCCGCCGCCGCCGCCGCCGTGGCTGCCGTGGCCGCGTCCGTGGCCATCCTCGATCACGATCGGGCGGAGGTCATTCCACGAGGTTGCATTCGTTTCACTACGGGCGTTTCTGCATCCTTGGCATCGCTCGGACGTGTGCATGTTTCCTTCGGCGAGGACCATCGAGGAGCATCCTTAATCATTTGGCGAAAAAACCATGCACGAAACCGGAAAAAAACAGGGAATGGACGGCCGAGCGATGGCCAGGATCCGGCTCGAGACATGAAAGAAATCACACCCAGGGTGGAAAGCTGCACCAGGCTGGACCCTGGGAGAGGGGCTCCAGTGACCGACTGTGACCAGATTTTGGTGGTCGTCGTCGTCGTCGTCGACTCGGGGCTGGAGGGGAAGGAACACACACACAAGTAATCGTCGACTCCCATGAGAAGATTGGAAAATATGGGAAGTGGGGGGGAAGACAAAAACCCAGAAAATGTTGGAGACGATGGGGAATCCTATCATTCGTGTGTATTTATTTGTGTGTCCCAGGGCCCCTTCATTGGGGCTGGATTCTTCAGATGTTCGAGGATCGAGAGTCGAAGTGTTCGGGCATCGTTGTGGCACTGTTTGAGGGCTCCGCGTGGGCCTTTGGGGACGTCTGCAGGCCCCCCAGGGACCTGAGGGGCACCTCCGGAGACTGTCGGCATCGCCGTCGTCGGCGGTCCTGCTGTCGTGGTCGTCGTCGCCACCGCCGCCGCCGTCGCCGCCGCCGTCGTCGTCGTCGTCGTCGTCGTCGTCGTCGTCGCCGTCGTCGTCGTCGTCGTCGTGATCGTCGTCGTCGTCGTGATCGTCGTCGTCGCCGTCTGCATCTTCGCCTCCGTCGTCGGGCGTCTCGTAGCTGTGTGGTTTCCCTTGTCTCGCTCCGGTTTTCCTGGCCGATGGCCGTGCCCGAACAAGGGCGATGCTTGCAGAGCCTCAGCCAGACCAGACCCTGATCCTTGACTGCTCCAAGCTCGTCGTGCCGCGTATCCTCCTCCCCCTAATCATCATTATTTTCGCTCTGAGGCCCGAGAAAGATCGCCTGGACACGGAGCTCGGGTCGACTGCAGCGAAACGGCTCCTCTCTCTCTTGATGCTGCTTCTCCTCAACATGCACCACCTCCCCGCCGTCGAAGTTTCCGTCGTCGTGTCCTGTCGCCGCTCCAGACTCGAACAAGATCCACGTGGTTGAGCAGGCCGAGGATAGGACGGGTGCTCTGGAGCTGAAGGCAGCCGTGGACCACCCGCTGGCCCCCACGAAGTTGATGTGGAGGCCGACGTCGTCGTCGCCGCCGCCGCCGCCGCCGTCGCCGTCGTCGTCGTCGCCGTCGTCGTCGTCGTCGTCGGCGTCGTCGTCGTCACCCTCGTGAGGCCGTCGTGCGCGGAGACCGGCAAGGGCGACGACCTGCTTGTGTCGGCCAGCACCATCGGGTGCCCAGGAGTCGTGAGGCTCAGACTTCCCCCGCGTCTGGGAGAGCAGCACCGACGGGCGTCTGATCTCTAAAGTCTATGGAGTTTTGTTTGTTATCCTCTGGCGCGTAAAGTCGTAACCCAGGCCAAACCCCTCCCCACCTCCCCCCGAGGTAACGGTATCGATCGTGCTGCACCCATCCCACATGCTGGTGCTCGCGCGCATACTATGGTACGATGGCGATCGCAGCGCACCCTTGCTCCAACGTGCCCCTCTCTGCCCAAGCGCTACTCTTACCTTTACCCTGGTCCCCAACCCCCTCCCCCACGGGTAACGACCGTCACCGGAAATATGTTGAAACACCATATCCGGGGCTCAAGGGACGGGGGTCCATGCAAACGGGGGTCAGCCAGGGCGTCGGACCTTGCAGGATCCTGCAGGGCCAGGGCTGCACTGACCCAGGCTTGGGTGCAGGATCCTGCAGGATTTTGCAGGATCTTGCAAAGCTTGACTGACCTGGGTCTGGATTGACCCAGGTCAGTAGATTTAGGTCGGGCATGTCCTCCTACAGGCGGATGTTGTACGAAAAGAAAATAAAAAACGAGTTTAAAACATCCCAGATAGTTGAAGAATTATCCCTAGAATCTGTATTTTGAATTTTCCTCCTGTAGAGTGGCATGCCCGACTTAACAGTAGATCCCCGACATATCGTGAGGTCTTTGACGTTTTCGTCGCCACGACCAGCCTGGCTCCGAGATCCTGACTGGAGGGCGAGCCAGGACAGGGGCGTGCGTGTGTCTGCTACTCGGCGGCGAGCGAAGGGGGCAAGTGAGAAGGAGAAGGCCTTCCCAGAAGGCGACGTGGCGTCTCAGAGGCCCTCGCGCCTTCTGAGACGCTCTCTGTGACCTTGGGGGGGAGGTTCAGAACACTTCTCAGAAGGCCGGCGGACTACCTACCTTGGAGAGCGAACTGCTCGTCCTGCGGGGCGACCGCCTTGGTCCCTTCGCCTCTTTAAGGAAAGAGAACCCTAGAGGCTCCTTAGTCCCCCCCCCCCTAAAAAAAAGAAGGCTGGCGGACTTCCGAGGCTTCTGAGAAGGCCCGCCCCCTCTCGCTTTCCCCTCCCGGGCTCGCCGCCGAGCTGCGCCCGCTCCTGCCTTTTTTGGGGGGGGTCGAGGTCGGGCCCGTGGATCCCCCCCCGCCGCGGAGGTCGACCCAGCAGGGATGGGGGGGCGGCAGCCCCGAGGCTGCACCCGGGGCTGGACCTCAACGGTGTTTTGGCGATTTCGTGGGCCGCTTTCGTTTCGACTTCGTTCTGCGGTAGGGGCGGATCGAAGGCAGAACGAGGGAACGCGAGAACAAGACGAAAACGACAACCACCGCGTAGGTTCAGCCTTGGTTGCATGGATTGCCCAGGAGAGTGGCTGTCGAGTGGGGCCCATCTCGAGCCCCGGAACTCTCCAGAGCCCATCGCTCGCAGGTGCTCGAGGGCTGCTTCTTCGTGGCCCGCCCGGCCCCAATCCTGGACCCCAAGCGGGCCTCCGAAGCCCAAACTCAGGAACGTGGGCCGCCCTGATGTTTCGGTGGCGGCAAAGAGGGGGGTGATGACTAGGGGGGGGGGGATAATATGGCGTGGGCCATTCTCATGGCGCCTCTTCTTCTTTTGTTTCGTTACGTCCCTGGCCCCCCCCCTAGCCGCGCACATGCCGCCGGCCATGATTTGCGCCCGCCCCCTCTTGGACGCCCCTCTCTTGGCCGCCCCCGAATTTCTGCCCAGGGCGCAGGCGGGGTCGGTTCTATTCAGGAGGGCAAGAAACACAGACACAATGAATCGTCGATCCCCCAGAAAATATGGGAACATATGGGAAGTGGGGGGGAAGACGAACAACCAGAAACTGTGGAAAATAAGGGGGAACCGTTTTTATTTGTGTGTATGTATTTGTGTGTCCCAGGGCCCCTTCAAATATGCCCCCCCCCGAGCATATCTTATCCCGGACACGAAAGTGGCACCTGTGCGCCATCCCCTGCCAGCATGCAGAGGTCGTGTTCTGTCCCGTCCAGGACGCGCGGGGCAGCCAAGGGCGCGCCGATCCGGGGTCCGAATCTGCTTCTTGGCGCGGGCGGGGTGCTTCAGAACCGCGGTGTCGTGCCAGTCTTGCCCTGCCCCCCTGCCCCCCCTCCCCTCCATCGCATTTCCTCACGCCTCTCGTTCCTGCGCCTCCCCCCGCCATCTCATTTTCTCACGCCTCTCGCCCCTGCGGGAGGAGAGGGGTCGGCAGACGCGGGGGAACGGAAGAAGAGCATGTCGGACGGACTCCCGGGCCCCGCCCATGCTGCAGCTCTGGAAGCTCCAGGAGGGCAAGCTGGTGCAGGTGGCGAAGCTCGCGAACACGCGCTCGTCGCAGGGGAACCACGGCATGGCGCCCGTGACCGCCTTCGACTGGAGCACCGAAAACACCGCGAAGATCGGCTCTTCCTCGGTTGACACCACCTGCACGATCTGGAATCTGGAGACTCACAAGATAGAGACGCAGCTGATTGCGCACGACAAGGCAGTGTACGACATCGGCTTCGCTCACCAGGCATCCCATTTCGGCTCCGTGAGC